AATTACTTATGTGAGATTATTTTTGTATTGTTTCAGAAAACCACAACTTATCATCAGTAAATGTTCAACTGAGAAATGGAGTCTGAGTGAATTTCTTTGAATAGATGACAGTAAACAGTTCTGACCGACTGTCTGCAGGGATTCAGATATACCCGAATCAGTGTTAAATTAAAACCTCAGTTACAATCTGAGAAAGCCAGACAAAAGAGGACTGCAGTATACATTACAGGGGTATATTCACAACATAATAGCAACTGATTAGAAAATAATTTTATCAAAATTGAAGCAAGGTTAGCCTAGCCACCTCATACGCTGAACATTCAACAGCATAGTTCATGCACAGCAGGAGAGGTGAAATTATAAAATAATCTAATAACCTAAAAACTGATGGATTTGTGCCGAATATTAGCATCATTGACCCATAACAGTGTACAGTACCTATTACTGTCAGCATGTTTGAGTGCTCTTTATCCAGTTTTTATTCAAATTTGCAGTTAAGTGGAAGAAAAAAAATTGAAATGCAAATCAAAGTATAAATAACAGAAGTGAAGGAATAGATATTTCCTACCAGCAAATATTAGTGTATGTATTTATATGCGTTACAATAGCGAGGGTTTAAACTAAGCAGTGCTCATAATATCGAGTGGAAAAAAAGAAAAAGACCGCTGGGAAACATAACCTGCTTTGTTTTTGTTTTTTTTGTTTTTTTATAAGAAACTCAGTTTAGATCTGTTTAGGATAAGAGGAGTGTGAGTTATTGCCACCTATCACTGAATGTGAATATCGAAAACAAAACCAACTTAGCTTATCTCCTTTACCGCCCCTCACACAGCTTGATCCACGCTGGCATTTCTCCTCTTGGGTTTTGGTTTTGAAAAGGGAAAAAATCCCACCACCCAGTCCAAACTTTTAGGATAGCGGGTGTCAGATTTGCACAATCCAATAGCGCAACGATTTGGCTTGTTTCCCTCGCTCGAAAGCTTGACAGAGCCCCTGCCCGTAGCAACAATTGGTAAGCCGCGATTGGTGGGTGGCGGTTTTTGGGCGTGGCTTAGCGAAGGGTCAGTTTAACAGGAGGATCCCGTGAGAGCAAAAGCACTAAAGGTATGAGACGCCATCGTAAACAAAAGTCAAGCGAACGCAAAGAGACTGAATGCACGAGAGAGAGAGAGAGAGAGAGAGAGAGGTGTATGTTGTATGTGTGTGAGAGAGAAAGAGAGAGAGAGAGACCGAGTATTGGCACGCGAGTATTGGCTCGATCTCAAGTTCAAATTCAAATTCTCTCTGCGTTCGCTTGACTTTTGTCCACTCCGGCGCCTCATAGTAGTCACGTTGGATACTGTCGAATCAAAACAATCTACCGTGCTTTGATTGGATGTCATGCCGAAAGCGCGCATGCTCACACACACACGCGCGCATGCTGCCACACACACACACGCGCTCGCATGCTGTCATACACACACGCACACATAAACGGGGAGAGAGAGAGAGAGCGGTCCATGTCAACATACTTTTTATCTTTGGGCTTTTCATGGGAAGCAGCAAGTCTTTACAAGTCAATAGGGGCAAGTCCTAGTCAAAGTCCGAGTCATTTATGTTCAAGTCCAAGTCGAGTTGCAAGTCTTTTTATATTTTGTCAAGTCGAGTCTAAAGTCATCAAATTCATGACTCGAGTCTGACTCGAGTCCAAGTCACATGACTCGAGTCCACACCTCTGGTATGGGGCTAATTTGGTTTTTAAACTTTTAACTTATGTTGTTGTTTTGATAAGTGTTATTGTGTCGTTGTTGTATGTTTGTAATTATTATCCTAAATCCAGTGTTGAAGAAAAATTTCCTTTCTGTGTCAAGCAGAATGGACAATAAAGTTTAAACTAAACTAAACTAAACTAAACTAAAAAGTATCATAGCCATTGTAAAAATACTGTAAACCCGTAAAAAGTGGAAACAAAAGAAATCAATTTACAATCCCTCTTCTTTCATTATAATGAATTGGATTAATAGTTTGTAAAAACCATTACATCTTTCTTGGTCTCTAGGTAACAGGTTATATCTATATCTAGTCTCTTTAAAGTGACTGAGGGTCTGGCTCAATGTCAGGAGTGCAATAGTAGTGTTTATTCATTTAGCCCAGCTTCCAGAAAGTGGATTTGATTTTAGTTTGTTAACTGTGAAGATGAATTTGGCTAATTATAGCCCAGACAAGGGTGCTTGCACACTTCCTATTGATAATACACAGAAATGTGTTGCATCACTACAATCACATCATTATTTGAATGAAGATATTTTATTAAGTGGACTTGACTGACATGGAGTTCAGCAAGGTGATGATTAAACATGGTAATGATGCTGAATTGGACTATTGTGCCGATGTCATGTTTAATGCGTGTTATGTAAAAAAAAAATTCATTATTCTAAGTTGAAGTTACGGAACACGCGGATGAATGTTTTAAAACTGGTGAAGATAAAGATGTTTTGGAGGTCATGAATTTGAATCCAGTGTGGCTTAGGTTAAATGGATGACCTTTTGTGTCTGATCAGAGGAACTCTGAGTCTTAGAATTACCCTGGATGTTTTATTTAGAGTTGGAGCAAGTTGTAAATGCATCAGAGGATGTATCGATGAAAGTATGTGTTTTTTACTTCTGGATGACTATTAGGGCTTGCGCATTTGTGTTCATATTCTGGACTTTGGTCCGCTGTTTAGTTTTTCGTATATATCCACTTCTCCTTGCAGGACCGTCAATACTACTGATGATGAGAAACGTCTACTGATACTGACGAACCGTCTTCAAAACCGAATAGCTTGATGAATACAAGGATGAAGCCCATTGTGAGTAAAAGGTGGAAGAGCCCTTACCCTGGGGACTGGAATTTTTAGGTTCCAGCATGTCCAAGAAAGGTCAAAGAAACTCTGTAACCTAAGTAGGGAGCACGAGTCATTACTTCCACTTTCTTTAGTGACCTCACTGGTTGACCTGGAGCGGATTAATTCGCTTCGGTCAAAAACAGGGGACTGAAGGAGTTAGAGTTCTACCTTCAAATTCATCTCAACAAATCAATGTTAATCCTTTTTCTCAACATCCTGTTTCTCATCACTTTTTACTAAATATAATTATTTAATTAATTTTTATTAAATTTAATGATTAATTATAGAACTTTGACTTGATTTATCTAATGTATACGTTCACACTGCTTAATGTAAGAATGTTCAGTGTCCTTGTTTCTCTGTTTGCTTATTTTAATTTTGTTTTCAGGAGACTCACAAAAACCAGGTCATAGGCCATGGAGATCACTCTCTCTCTGTCCCTCTGAACAAAGTATCGATGCAGAGGAGAAGAAAAACACCTGTTCTAGTTGTCCTGATATTGTCTACAGTAATTTACCTGTTTGATTCATCTGTTTTGATTGTAATTCTTATTAAAGTAATTCCTTTTGTATGGAGATAGACACTGTGTGTAGTACGGATATTGTATCAGACTGTTGATGGAACCAGTTTCATAACACAGCTGAACGTACAAGAAACATTAATTCATTTTCTTGTCGGCTTGGTCCCTTGCCTCAGCAGAATTAACCGCCAACTTATCCAGCAAGTTTTTACGCAGCGGATGCCCTTCCAGCTGCAACCCATCTGTGGGAAACATCCACACTCACATTCAAACCCACACTCATACACTACAGTCTATTTAACCTACCTGTACCACATGTCTTTGGACTGTGGGGGAAACCAGAACACCCGGAGGAAACCCACGCAAAGGCAGGGAGAACATGCAAACTCCACACAGAAACACCAACTGAGCCGAGGTTCTAACCAGCGACCTTCTTGCTGTGAGACGACAGCACTACCTGCTGCCCCACTGCCTCACCGTACAAGAAACATCCTTGAGATTTTAACACAGATGGTCTCTTGTGTCTTTTGTGACCCTGATTTAGCTTTTCACAGGTCGGAGATCAGCTCTAAATTAAATTAGGGTCGACCTAACCCCCAGGAACCATGTCCCTATCCATATCTGGAGTTAGATACAATTCTTTCTTAACGCACGCATTGAGGCCATCCATATCTGGAGCTAGATACAATACTTCATTGACACGAGCATTTAGAATTGTCTATTTTTGCTGTACCCAATGAGAACTGTTTACCTGGATCCCACCCTTTCTGGACTTGTGTAGAGTATAATTACTGCATTGTTGTACTGTAAGTCAGAGCGGCCTAGGAACTCATTGCAAATGTTGAGCTGGCTTCTGCTGATGAAACTGCAAACTATCTTCAGTAAACTTCATTTACTTATTTGAATCTTTGACTCCGGCTCTTCTTCATCTGACAGACTGGTCATTCTTTGTGTTAAACTTTATACCATCCCTACCGTAGTAAACTAGAACTTAAAAATAAAGATCCTTTACTAATAAAAGATGCAACACAGGACAATTGAATGGACTTTCTAAACTTGATGCCCTGCTATACTGCAAACTAACCGTCCTGGAGCTTCACCTTATTTGATGTGCGGCGTCTTCCCAGTGATTTGTTTCTCATTCAGAGAGTCAGACAGAGAACATCATCCAAAACAACACTAGCTACATGAATACACTGGAGAGTGTGGAGAGTGGGAGAAACACGACACATTTACAACCCCACCAACAACCCCAGTGTAGGAGTGTTGGAAAAGAGTATACCGTCCCTCAGCCTTTTTAAACATTATTCAGACATGAAAAATCCTGTGCATATGAAGAATGTTGTGCTCCATTCATATCATGTGCAACTTCTTGTCCATGTGTTTCTCAAGCTGCGGCGATTGAGCGAAACTCTGTGGACACTGATCAGATCTGTACGGTTTCTCTCCAGTGTGAATCCTCTTCTGTTTTCAGATGTGTTAACCAATAAAACTTCTTGTAACAGTGTGAATCATCTGGTGCAGTTTCAAATTTGGAGCTGTAAGAAGTCTTCTCACACTCAAGCACATATACTCTTTCACACCAGTGTGGATCTTCATGTGTTCATTAAGGTTTGCTGATCGGTTGAAACTCTTCCCACACTGAGTACATGTGAATGGTTTCTCTCCAGTGTGGGTCTTCATGTGTTTATTAAGGTCTGAGGAGTTGCTGAAACTCATCCCACACCGAAGCTGCGGTCATACTAGAGTTTAAGCATGCGAAATCCTGTTGTTTGATTTCTCTCCAGTGTGGATCCTCAAGTGTAGATTACAGGATGATGACTGGCTGAAACTCTTCCCACACTGAGTGCATGTGAATGGTTTCTCTCCAGTGTGGATCCTTAAGTGTTTATTAAGGTGTGATGATTGGCTGAAACTCTTCCCACACTGAGTGCACGTGAATGGTTTCTCTCCAGTGTGGATCCTCATGTGTTTAATAAGGTGTGATGATTGGCTGAAACTCTTCCCACACTGAGTGCATATGAATGGTTTCTCTCCAGTGTGAATTCTCATGTGATGATTAAGGTATAATGAGCAGCTGAAACTCTTCCCACACTGAGTGCATGTAAATGGTTTCTCTCCAGTGTGGATCCTCATGTGTAGATTAAGGGATGATAATAGGCTGAAACTCTTCCCACACTGAGTGCATGTGAATGGTTTCTCTCCAGTGTGGATCATCATGTGTAGATTAAGGTTTGATGATTGGCTAAAACTCTTCCCACACTGAGCGCACGTGAATGGTTTCTCTCCAGTGTGGATCCTCATGTGTATATTACGGTTTGATGATAGGCTGAAACTCTTACCACACTGAGTGCATGTGAATGGTTTCTCTCCAGTGTGGATTCTCATGTGATGATTAAGGTGTGATGATTGGCTGAAACTCTTCCCACATTGAGTGCATGTGAATGGTTTCTCTCCAGTGTGGATCCTCATGTGAATCTTAAGTTTGCTTTTTTTTGCCAAACTCTTTCCACACTGAGTGCAGGTGAAATGATTCTTGTCTCTCCTTTTCAAAATACCATCAGTCTGTAAATTAGTTTTTTCCTCAATTTTGACAGGATGTTCCTCCTCTTTACTCCCCTCATTCTGTTCAATTAGGTCTGAAAAATATATTTAAAAAAAACATTCGTTTTCATTAAGTCTATAAAACTCTGCATGAAAATCTTCATCAAAAGCTGAAAAAATTGAAAAGACACTGGAAACATTGGCTACACACACTGTAATTTTGATGCACATTAAATGTAAAATTAATCAGGTCATATTTTGTTCTGTCCATTAATGTGTACACATTTAAACAGATTTAATTCAATTAATGTTTATTTAGTGCTTTTACAATGTAAAATGTGTCAAAGCCGCTTAACATAGAAGTTATAGTAAATTGAATCTGTCAGTCCAGTTTTCAGAGTTTCTTACTGTCAGGGTTCTGCCACTTTGGTCTTGTAAATTCTTGTTTTGGTGGCAGAGCTCTGACACTACTCCTCCATGTCTGGCCCTGTTTCTGTCTCTGTGTGCGCGCGCGCGCCCGCCGTCGTGGGTGTACGCAGAGTGTGCGCGCTGCCACTTGATGTGGCCGCGCATGCTCTGCGTCCCTCAGACGCGCGCGCTCTTGTACTAGTGTTTGTGTTTGTTCTGTCAGCAGCGCGCTGCTTTATTCTCGGCGCCTCCGTCTAGTTGGTTTCAGTTTTGGTTGGCGCTGAGATGAAGCATGCGCGTTGCTTATGTGTGAGCGCACGGTAAGGTGTTTATCTATCGTGTGCTCGTGTCTTGCGTCTCTTGTCAAAGCACGTGGCTTGGTGTTTACATTGTTGTCACGTGCTTTTGTCGTGTGTTTCAGTGTTGTTTGTTGTCATGAACATGCGGTTAATGAGTTCTCTCATTGGCTGCATGTTCTTGTCCTGTTAAGTGAGCGCATGGCTTGTGTGTCTCTCTGTGTCATGCGCTCTCCCGTCTATTGTCTTGTCCCACCCTCCTTGTTAACTCATTATTAGTTAATTGTGTTCACCTGTTTGTGTGTTAATTTTCTACAGTTTATATACCCCTCACATTTGCTGTCCTGTGCCAGTTCGTCATCACATGTTGTTGTTTAAACCCTTGTCTTGTCATGTTTCCAGTTATCATCGTTGCCAGCCTGCCCAGTCCTGTTTGTATGTATTTGTTTTGTTAATGTTTTCCCCCTCGGGGTAGTTTATTTTGCATTTTATTTTATTTTTATTATTTAATAAATTCCCATTTATTCTGCACTTGAGTCCTCGCTCCTTTTTCCCCATTTCCCCTCACCAACCCTGACACTTACATAATTGATCATAAAAGTAATTTTGTTCATATTGATAAGACAGATTTGAAAGCTGTAAATGACCTGTTTTTATTCGTATTTATTCATAATTACAACAAAATGTTTTTCTAAAATGTGTAAAGTAGACCAGGGCTCAAAATTAACCTTTTTGCTTGGTAGCACCAGTGCTCCTAATTTAAAAAATGTAGGCGCATCAACCAAAATTTTGTCGCACCCACCAATTACAAGCACCGTTACCACAAGTTTTATACAAACAGATTTATTGCATTTGAAATCAACACGAATCAAACTAACAAGCAAAAAAATATATGCATGCATGAGGAAAATTATAATTATTATTATATGCATATGTCATGTTAATAGCAATACCGGTCTTTTCATGAGCAGCGATATTAGTTTAATCAGTGCAAGCCCGCTTGCGATGGTTTAATCTAAATTTACAAAATATATAATTGTACATAAAATTAGGTCTAAAAATATATTTAAAGTGTAGTCTAAAAATATACATACGCAATGAAAAATTGTAAACCAGAGTTGTGCAGATAAAGAACAGTATATAGTGCAAAAAGCCTTGTGAACATGATGATTATGATAAAGTGACAGTTTCATAATATATGTAAATGTAGTATGATGTGTCTAACTGGTAGACCAATGTTACATAAAGTGACCAGTGCAGATGAATGTATGCATGTGCGGGTGTTTTTATGCGTGTCAGAGTCCAAAAATGCGTGTGGAGGGAGAGGGGAGTGGTGGCAGAGTTGGGAGAGGGTTCAGCTTCCTGACAGCCTGATGGATGAAGCTGTCTTTCAGTCTGTTGGTCCTGGCCTGGAGACTTCGCAGTCTCCACCCTGGTGGAGCAGACTGAAGAAGCTATGCATTGGGTAAGTGAGCTCTGCTGTTATGCAGAGGGGTTTTCGGGTGAGACGGGTGCTGTAAATGTCCTGGAGGGAGGGTAGAGGGACACCAATGATCTTCTCAGCTGTTCTGACTATGCGCTGAAGAGTTTTCCTGCAGGATGCATTGCAGGCTCCAAGCCACGCAGTGATTCAGCTGGTCAGGATGCTCTCAATTGTGCCTCTGTAGAAGATGTGCATGATTGGGGCTGGTGCTCTTGCTCTTAAGTTTGCGGAGGAAGTAGAGACACTGCTGTGATTTTTTTTTTTGCCAGTGTAGTGCTGTTTTTTGTCCAGGAGAGATCCTCAGTGATGTGTACACCCAGGAACTTGTTGCTGCTCACATGCTCCACAGACGCACTGTTAATGGTCATTGGAGCATGCAGAGTGTGCACTTTCTTGCTTTCTCCTTTGTCTTTTCCACATTCAAGAAGAGATTGTTGTCTCTGCACCACTTGGCCAGACGACTCACCTTGCTTCTGTAGTTTTTCTAATCATTTTTGTTGATAAGACCCACCATAGTTGTGTCATCCGCAAATTTCATGAAAAGATTGGAGTTGTAAGATGGTGCACAATCATGAATCAGAAAAGTGAAGAGGATAGGGCTCAGGATCCCTGACGGGCCCCAGTGTTTAGAGTGATGGTGCTGGATGTGTTACTGCCGACCCATAATGCTTGTGGTCTTCTGGTGAGAAAATCCAGCAGCTAGTTACACAGAGAGGTGTAACTCTGACAGCTGGACCAGTTTTTGAGTGAGCTGTAGGGGGATGGTAGTGTTGAATGCTGAACTGAAGTCTATGAACAGCATTCGGATGTAGGAGTCTGTTTTGTCCAGATGTGTAAGCCCTGAGTGAAGTGCAGTGGAGATGGCGTCATCAGTCAAGTGGTAGGACCGATATGAAAAGTGAAAGGGGTCCAGGACAGACTTAATGTGCTGCATCAAAAGCTGTAAGCTCCTCTCTGTGTGGTGTAAACAAAGCCCATTGTGTTATTGCCCCGTGTTGGAAAGTCTATGTGTTGGTGTATTTTTGGAAACACACTTTTTAGGTCTACATGGTTAAAGTCCCCAGCCAGGATGAGAAAAGCATCTGGGTGGGCTGTAGGCTGCTCACTTGACGTGCAGGTACAGGTCTTTCAGTGCCTCACTCATGTTGTTAGCATTGGAACTGGGAGGGATGTAAACAGAGAAAAGCAGTATGGCTGTTTATTCCCTCTGAAGATAAAACGGCCGGTACTTTAAAATTATAAACTCCACCAGTATCAAGCAGTTTTTGCAGACTACAATGGTATCATGGCCAGAACCGAAATGTCTAGAACGTTGTCACTGAGCCAAGTTTCCGTAAACACAAAAGCACAACAGTTCTTTACAGTCTTTTAAGATGAACGAAGTAGACGGCTATAGTCCAGTTTGTTGTCTAGCGAGCGTACGTTCGCTTGAAAGATGGAGGGGATAGCAGGTTTGTGTGGGTAAGCCCCTAGCCTAGTTCAGATCCCCCCACGCTTGCCCCTCTTCTGCTTTCTCTTGCCTCCATTGTGGCTGAGGTGTTGAGGTGGGGGTTGGAGGATGAGTAGGCCTCCAGAGCAAACAGAGATCTTGCAGCTCCTCAGTGTCCGCGGAGTTTAACTTGAAAAGTTTGGTTCTGCCGATGTCGAGTAAAAATTTAAGACTACATGTAAACTTAAGCACAGATAAACGTGACGAGGACGTACAATAACACTGCGATGTACATGACAAAGAACACAAAAACACTGTCTTGTCGGGAAATGGAGAAGGCGCAGCATTTGCACGCGCCTCCATCTTGGAAAAAGCAAGAGTGGAATTGAAAGAGTGGTTAACGGCAGAGTGGAAGCAGCGAAAGAGCGAGTGACTGGTTTGGAGTCTGTGTTGGGTGGATACTCCGACTCTCTTACTACCCTGGAAAAAGAGTTTAGTATCGTGAAAAAAGAAGCTGGCTCTGCTGAGACCAAAGCAAAGATCTTGAGGAGAGGTCTCCCCGCTCAAATCACTATACGCAGCAAACCAGTGGACGACAAGGAACTGCCACGCACCTTCGTGATTAAATGCCATAACTTTTCCGAAAAAGAGGATATTTTGAAGAAAGCCATTGAAATGAAGATCCAGACCCGCTCGCCCCCTCCGGGCAGGTGAGCGCTGTCACTACGGACCCTGAAACGGACATGTTAGCCGTTATTTTCCGGGCTGCTTCAGCCATGCGTTGGAAATGGTTTATCCCCCAGCTGGCGGCCCAACCGACTAGAGTTGGAAGTTCCCTTCTTCCCGGAGGTGCACAGTAGGCTCACGCAGTCTTGAAAAGCACTTTTTTCTGCTTGTGCTGTGTGTCCCTCCACCCTCACCACTCTTGACGGTGGAACAGCCAGAGGGTATGTGGCGATTCCTCAAGTTGAGTGCGCGATGGCGGTCAATCCGCGCGGTGCCTTCTCTTGGCGGGGTCCGCCTCGTCTCCCATCCAAAGCCTGTTAGTTATCTGCCTCCCTCGGAGCTAGAGCTTACATAGCTGCCGGCCAGGCTGCTTCCACCTTGCATGCGATAGCCACCTACCAGCGCTACCAAGCGCAGGCGCTGGCCGAGCTGCACGAGGGTGGGTCCAACCCAGGCTTACGAGCTTCGCACCGCCGCCAACTTAGCTCTTCGAACTACTGAGTCTGCTACGTGCGTTGGGGAGGACGATGTCCACATTAGTGATCCCGGAGCGCCACCCCTTTGCTGATATGCGCGAAGTCGACAAAGTCCGCTTTCTTGACATCCCCATATCCCAAGCCAGGTTCGGCGACACCGTCTGTGAATTCACCCAGTAA